GGTAAGTACTTCGTGTGAAGTGAATCGCCACACTTTTTTCGGGATTTATTTCTATTCTCCATTTGCGGAACCAATCGCCGAGGCGGTCGGCAGCGCTTTGGAGTCCAGTGGTTAGTTGTCTAAGGTTGCGGTCTGAATAAAAGAGCGCCGTGTCATCCGCGAAAAGCGCGAGATTGACGTGGGGGTCTTTAGGTATATCGCTCGTGTAGAGCGTAAAGAGCAAAGGTGGGAGGCAGGAGCCTTGTGGTACGCCGGCGGTGAGGCGGCGGCTTGTGGAGAGGGTGCTTTCAACTCGATATCGAAAAGAGCGGTTCGACAGGAAGGCCTGGATGGTGTGTACGAGCCTATCTGGCACTTTGAGTGTGTACAGCTTGTAAAGCAAGCCGTTGTGCCAGACCTTGTCGAATGCTTTTGCGACATCGAAGAAAAGAGCCCCTGTACTAATATGTTTAGGGTGATTTAGGCCTTTTAGGATATGTTCCGTTAGGCGGAATAGTTGATCGGTACAGGAATGTCTAGCTCGAAAGCCGAATTGTTCCGCCGGCAGAAGGCCGTTGGAAAACACGTGCTCATTGAGCCTGTTTAATAAAAGCCGCTCGTAGCGCTTCCCCAGGCAACTGAGGAGGCTGATGGGACGATAGCTAGAGGGCTGGTTGGCTGGTTTATTAGGCTTGCGAATGCCAATAACCCTGGCTTCTTTCCAGTCGTCTGGAAAGGAGCAACTGGAGAGTAAAGTATTGTAAATGGTCGCCAGTAAACAGATAAGCGGCCCAGGGAGAGCTTTAAGAATTTTGTTACTAATATTATCTGGGCCCGGGGCGGATTTGGGGTTTAAGTTTTTAATAATATCTTGAACCTCTTCGGGGGTCACTGAATTCAAAGGATCGCCTTCCGGTGGAAGCGCAGCCCTAATCTCGATTACGCGGTCCACCTCCGTTAGGTGGGCTGTATCGATGTGTTCGCGCGATGGCGTACATTGCTGCTCTAGGTTGTCCGCAAGGCATTCGGCTTTTTCGGAGTCATCTAGGGCTACTGAAGCGCTATTAGGTCTAACTAACGGCGGTAGAGATTCGCGGGGGTCTGCTTTCAGACTGCGGACCAACCGCCAGTAGGCGGTGTGCGATGGCTCGATGTCCCACGTTGTACGTCGGTGTTCCGATACACGATCTTTGACTTCTAGCTGAAGGCGTCGAAGTAGGGTTCGGTTCGATTCCGATCGGTATCGGTCGAAAGCGCGTTTGGCTGCCTAATTAGGAGTCGCAGGTCGGGCGGAAAGTTAAACCGTCGATCGCCCGACAGTTTAACCGTCCGTTCCGAGTCTGCGACTGTGGAAGTGATGGTTTCTCGGAGACTTGCTATCGCTCGATCTGCGTCATCGAACGTAGCTATCGTCTCGGGTAGGTCGACTAAGTCCTGGGGGTCCAAGGCCTTGAGTTTGACCTCAAGACGATGCCAGTCCACTACGGATTTGGTCGGAGGGACCGCGCCGGCGTTCTGGCCCAGTTTACACAGGACGGGCCTGTGATCTGAGTCTAGTTTATGGATTGTCTCTATCGACTCGATGTCGAGGGAGACCTCCTTGAGTAACATGATATCTAGGATACTCGGTGTCGCGTGTTGGTAGTTGTCCACCGTAGGATACCTAGTGGGAGTCGCAGGAGCAATTAAGCTAAAGTTTAAATTATCGGATAAGCTAAAGAGATGCTTTCCGTTGCCATTTGGGATGCTGTGGATGTCCCATGAGCCGTGTTTGCAGTTTAGATCTCCTGCAATTATCACGGAAGGGCCCAAGTTGAGTAGCGTATCTAGGTCGCTTTGTAATAAGGTTTTGTTCCCCGAGAGGTAGGCTGAGACTAGTACAAGCGGCCTATGGCCGGTGAGCGCTAACCTACACGCGGATGCCTCTATATGGCTTAGCTCTGGAATGTCGAGCGGGCTACAGTGCAAGGACCGTTTGTAATAAATTAAGGTGCCTCCCAGACGGTTTGCTAACCGGTCGTGGCGGACTATGTTGTAGTTTGCGATTCTGGGATCGCGTACACTAGGTTTTAAGAATGTCTCTTGCACTAGAAAAATATCTACGTTATAATCGCGAAGGAATTCCGCGATTTCGTCCCTTTGACCCTTTATGCCGTTTGCGTTGAAATACGAAACAACCAGAGCCCGAGGTTTTGTTCTACCTGCGGTTGTACTTCCCATTAAAGTTTTTTATGAGTTCTAACTAACGACGTGGCGGAGCGCGGTTTTATTGCGCGGACTATTAAGTTTATGGTTGGCTTGTAAATGCCCAGAGGGCTTCTACAAGCATTTTATGTTCGCTAATGGCTTGAAATCGCGCGTTGCCAGATGTGGCGGCCGTTATTTTAGCGGACAATACGGCGAGTTCTTGTCTATTAATGCGGTCTAATAAGGCGCAGATGTTGGCAATTTGGGCGAACGGGTCGTCCTTGTTTTCGTCGAAAACCGACGGTGTCGAATGCACCTGCGGCGTCGGCGCCGTTTGATAGGCGGGAGCGATTGGTCGTGACGCGACCGGGGGCGCAACTACATGCGCGGCCACCTGGGGTTTCGCCCAGGCGTTTACGACGGGTACGGGCGCGGGAACGTATTTCACGGGCGCGGGTTTGGGCAAAGTAGATTTCGTGGGAGCTTTTCTCGCGGGAGTTTTTGGGGCCTTAGCGCAGCCCCTGTAGCTAGCCGGGTGGCCGGTGGTATGACAATTAACGCAGTCCGGTGGATCTGCGCAATCTTTTGGCCGCGTACAATCGGGCGTGCCGTGGTCACCGGTGCATTTGACGCACCTAGGGTAAGCGAAACAATTATTAGTGTGGCCATAGTGTTGGCAGTTGTGGCACTGCGCCACAACTCCCGATCTTCGCGGGGGCTCGATCACGAGGTCGCTGAGCCCACAGACCCTCTTCAGGTGAAGATGGCCTTACCTTCCGGGGTAGGGTCAAGTTCAACCATCACCATGTCCATAGGGACACGGGTTCTAGGGTGCCTGAGGCGGCGTACGTTATGCACAGGGTATCCCTGAGTGCGGATGTCGGTCTTCGCCTTGTCGACATCCGACTCTTTGGGGACGCCCTTGATTACTACCCGAAGTTTTCTTTCTTCGGGCAAAGAGTAGGTGTGGAAACCTATCTTGTTTTCGCGCAAGTACTTAGTTACGCGACGGAAGTCGTCCGTAGTGTCAAGGTATACGCGGATACCCATATGCGTGTTTTCGACCGGGGGTCGCGGATATTGTGGCGTTCAAACCACGAACAAATTTGGTGCCACTTAGCCTTCTCCTGAATGATGATGGGTGGAGGAGGCTTTATTTTTCGCTCGGAGGCGAATTCGGGCATCGGTTTAGCCGCCGCGGCCGCCTTTTTAGCGGGCGTCGCGGTGGGACGGATCATTGAGGCGGCCTCGCATTCGGGGTCGCTGTCGGCAGTGGGGCGTTTTTTGCCCTTTTTACGCGATTTAACGACGGTGAAGCCGTCGGCGTTCGCGTTTTCAGCGGGGGTCATTTCGACCTCCATGTCCGATCCGCCGTCCGATTGTGAGTCGGGTACGACGGAGCGAAAAGAGGTCGGGTTTGGTTGCGCGGAAGGCGCTGCGGGCGAGTTCGCGTTAGCGGATGCCGACGCGACAGGAGCTTCTAAGGTCGCGGAGGGCGACGGGGTAACGGGCGCAGACGGTGCGGGCAATGGCGGCGACGCGAGTTCAGCTAATTGCCTATGCTCGGCTTCATAAGCGAGAAAACGTTCCCACATAGCGGGGCATTCTTTGCGTACGAACTCCTCGAAAAGGGAGCCCATCGCGACGTAAGTGCCTTTGGGGCTTGTAGCCCCGCCGGCGTGTGTGAGCTAAATAAGCCTCCCCACCTTGCGGCAGGGAGGAGTGTGCCTAGAAATAACAACAAATTTGCCTGCGCTTTAGGTGCGCTAGGATGGGTACCTAGCTGTCGCCTATTGCAACAAGCACACAGTTAATAAATGAAACAATGCCGCCTCTGAGGCGAGAAGTGTGTGTAGGATTCTACTTACAAACAGGAACCTGCCTACGAGCACAACACTACACTAACACTAAACTGCTGCACTATTTGCACAAGATTGAAATTGCAACCGAGGTTGCGGGATGCGTCTAATTCGGGTGGCATGTGCCCTCCGTCTTAGAGAGACGTCCGTTCCGTACGAGAGCACGAAGCGGAATGGCCGGATTATATATCGGATCAAAATATGTCAGTTAAAATATCGATCTATTTAATAAAAAATATCGATATATTGTCATATCGATATTTTTTCGGCATCCATTGACAATTGACACTTTGACAGTTGTGTTTTTTACTTGCCCAAACAAAATATTTCGATATTTATCGTATCGACATTTTTTAAAACTATCGATAATTATCGAGTGAAAAATATCGATAAATCGATCTATCGATATATTTTTTTTATTATTTGTATTTCTAAAAATTTAAGGTGTTTCTTTTGTTAATTAATTAATTTATATAAAATTGTAAAATATTAACGCCAAACCAGAGCTGCGTTAAAAATATATCGAAATTGACACGAATTCGATAGTAGAAAATAAATATGGAACATCGATATATCGGGAATAAAATATCGACTATATATTTCGATAAATAAAAATATATTTGAGAAAATATCGGTATTTTTATATATCGAAATTTTTGCCCATGCCTAGTTGTATAAATTTAACTGGTCTAGTAATTAGTAGTTTGGTAACCTTAACTTTTATAAAAATTTATATATTAAATATTCATAGAATAATTCTCTTCATCATATCATTATAAAAACGGTGCAAAAATAAACAAGTAGATGATATTCGTAGATATTTCAAACTATTTTTTTCTTTATCATTATTGTGTCATTGACGATATCCCGCCCGCCAACTGCCTTAGAAGAAGAAGAACCTAAACTTTGTTTTTTTTTACAAATACACATTCAAAACCTTACTAAATCTTAATTTGACGCAATAACAATTTTCCAATGGAGAACAGCAATAAAATAATACCTCCTCATCTAAACGCAGAAGTTTACAGAACGGATACGACAGGAACTAGTACGCAGTCGTATTTGGATTATATTCGACTTCATCCAGGTAAGTAAATTATACTTGTCTGCATCCTTTTCTAAAAATTTCCGTATATACAATTATTTTAATATTTGTGAATAGAATATTGCATTAAAATGTAAGCAATTGTTCAGCAAATTGGCGAGCCCACATTGCAATAAAAAAAATTATGTGATAGAGAAAAATCAGATGAATTTAATCAACGACAAGCAGAATTCTCCGGTCGCTTATAGTTTGCGAGAAATTTTAATTCTTATTGGTTTTACTAGGGTATTCTGCCATTTTATTGAGTTTGAAAACTGAATATAGGAAGGTAAGCCTTCGTTTTTATGTCTTTTATGACTAAATAAGAGTCTCATGTTGCAAGGCTGAGCCAACCTATCTTGGCTAGGTTTATTATATATGGCTTTGTTTATTATATGTTTATCCAGTTAAATAAGGAATTTATTTTTACTCATTTTATTTTTTGCTTAAATAGCCGTTATATATAAAAGTTCAGATCTGAAAACTGGTGGCAACAGATGGGTCCGGTTTGGTTAGAATGGTGTCTTTTGAATCTTGACCAGCCTCAGAACTGAACAATCCCTGTAAGTTCAAAGGTTTAACGTAAAGCGTCAGCTTGAGACGCTGAAACGCTGGGGGAACAAAGAGAAGTAGTTAATGAGGACTTATTAAATTAAGTAATCTTGGTAAATAATAAATTTAAATATATTTTCAGATGGGACAGTGTTAATTGGGTGTTCAGAATTAACAGGGCGTTACTGGAATGGTGGTGTAAACATATTTAAAAATGTAGAAAATGATGAAAATTGCATCAAATCGGCAAAAAAGAATATAAGCCTAACACATGGTACTGCAGATGGTTGTTTTGTGGATAACTCTAATAGTGTAATTATAAAATTCTGTTTTTTTATTAAATTTGAATTATATGAAGTACATAAATTGCTAATAAATTTTATGCAATAAAATACAATTACAGGTCTTCTTGTGTGAAGATAGTGGTGCAGTCAGTTTATGGACTACTCATGAAGATGTATGGAAACAATGGAATGAAGAATTATCAGTTGCAGAACATGATGATGCTATACTTGCTGTTGACTGTTTGAATCCTGGTAAAGAATATGTTACAGCTGGTGCAGATGGAAATGTTAAGGTGGACATCATAAATTAAATTTATTTCACTCAGTTGATTGATGGTTATCAATAACCTTGGAGAAGCTCTGTATTTCATTTGCTTCATCTTTATAACATTAAATGAGCAATACAAGTATATGCGTATGCAATAATAGTTGGAAACGGCTGTAAGGTTTTACGTTTTAAGTTTTATGTATTAGGCGTATTTCGAAAAAGCGCTATTTTACACAGAAAATAGTTTTGATGTTAGTCTGCTGGTATGTCAATGATTGATGTCCATTTATTATTTACTGGAATGCAAATAACAAATGAATAACACACTGAAATGTTTTACGTATTTTATCTCGTTTAATTAGATTTTTAAATTTCCTACGATTCGGACCCTTTACGGCGTTCATGGTCATGGGAAAGACTGAGTTGATTTACGTGTTAATGTCATAGTTAACTAGGGCTACATTCAATATTTATTTTAATTCTATGAGTACCATTACCAAAAAGCATGAAGCCAATTGAAGCCGTTTGGCTAGGAATTTGAAATCTAAATTTATTTAAAATTTCGGCCTGTGTATTTGTTTCCAATTTAGTGATGTATTTGTTTTCACGCCATTTGATTTTTCTGTGACATTGGTCTGTTCACGATATGAAACACTTGAAATCTCGTTTTTTTTACGAACACATGTTCCTACAATTCGAAAAGATATGATTTCCGGAAATTTTAACCTCAGCCTTCGGCGTGAGTGACAAAAATTGTTTTTTGGCATGTAAATAACATTATTTGAAGAGGGCGATTTGTTTATTATAATTTCTGCCTATTGTAAAGCATGTGATGATAATTATAGTTTATTTTACCAGAAAAACTTTGTGTAAGTTGGAATTGAAAAGAAAAAAACACAATTTCCATAATCTTCAACTTATCATTAATAATAATTTGTTGATCTAAAACAGGTTTGTCTATTACAGGTATGGGATCTCTGTGACTTGATCTGTATAAGAAACTACAGCTTTGCTCATACAATGGCTGTTAATACAGTCTCTGTGAGATCTAAATCACTCACAAATTTTGCAACTGGCTCATTAGATCAATTCATAAGCTTATGGGATGAAAATATATCTAAACCTGTATGTGGTAAGTGACTATTTATTTTATACAGTCAGAAATAACTAATCTCTCATGGGGTAGTTTTCTACAGCACATTGTCTAAACTATCTGACTAACTAGATATTCAGATTATTTCTGTGAAAATCTGCAATCTACCTGTGTGTAGATATGCTAATATATCTGAATAAGAATGCTATAATGAAGAATGCTATAACTGAAGTTATACAAAATGTGTTAAGTCATTTGAAAAACTGCAAAATCTTAAATGCAAATCCTTCAGACCATACATAAATATCCCAACCGGTAGGCTAGGTTATTTAATTTCCATTAAAAATGATGTGAACAGATATAAAACAAAATTCATTTATTTAAAATTGTTATCTTGATAGAATGTATAAGAGAGACAACCATCAAAAGAAATATAGAATTGTAACTATACAATTCTAAAAGTTAGTTTTGTTTTATAATAATTTTTTTCGATAAATATGTATGTTATGTGAGATGTTATTAATTACAGAATTATATATATAAAATAACATTCATAATGATAAGTCATTCCTATAACTTTTCAGAAGTTATAGAAAATGACTGTGCTGTTCGTTGTTTAAAATGGCTTGATGAAAATTATTTGATATTTGGTGATGATGCTGGTGTTTTGAGTCTATTGGACATAAGAATGCCTGGGGCCTCGACCAAATTGACTGAGTTTCCTGCAGCAGTTCACCACATAGCTGTTCAGCCTGAGTATGACTTGTAGTGTTTTTCATAAAAAAAAATTCTGTGTTGTGTTAAATTGATATCAAATAATAGCTTTATTTAGGTATTGTATATTACATTTTTAAGTATCACATATTTATCTGTTTTGGATTATCAGGACTGATAAATTTTTCAATTTATTTTATATATTTATGTATTTTTACAGATTACGTAGAATTGCAGTATGCTGTGACAATAAAACATTAACCGCCTGGGAAATCATTGGTGATGCAAATATTAAAAATGTGTATATCAATAAAAGTCTACATAAAGATTTTGTAAGAGATGTTGCATGGGACATGAATGAGAACAATATTTTATATTCTGTGGGATGGGATGGAATGTTATATAAGCACAAATTAAATAACTTAATGTAATAATTGTAAGTCAAATATATCTTAAAGCACAAAGCAAGCAGTTTGTTTTAATTTCGACTAGAAAAGATGTCGTAGTCAGTGTTGGCAATACCAATAATATTAAACGTTGTTTTACAACTAATTTACAACTCATTTGTGAAAACTCGTTTAAAAAAATCGCGTTTTTGAAGTAACGACATAATATACAAGTAACTTGGCGGTACGATTCTTATGATGATTTATTTATAGTACCTGGAGGACCGAGCTTTGCTCGGTTTGTTTTTTTTTTGGTAAATCGTGTATTTTGGAAATTACATTTAGATACAAATTACTGAGTAATGAAAATTGCATAATATTTTTCGATCTTACCGACGTAATAATAAGAAAATATGAACTGGTGTTTTTCACAAAAGAAAGAACTAAAAAAAGGGAAAGAAAGAACAAAATCATCTGGATGGACAAAAAATAAAGCAATGATCTGGAATCGAAAAAAAAAATAAAAAAATAAGTATGTAAATGATCGTGACACGAACCACGGCCTACTGTTTTTGGGTCGCCCGATTACCGACCGAGCTATTATAACATTTTTTTTTTCGGCGAAATTTACCGTCATATTCGAATGATATTTTTCATTTCCTGAAAACAGTGATAAAAGGACATTTTCTAAAAATGAAACCTAGCTAGATCGAAATGAAAATATATATAGAGGAAAGTCACCCAATATGGAATACCATTTTGTTTCAGGGATATAAAAAAAAAACTTCATGGAAACTAAAACAGTTTAATGTAATTACTAATCAGTCAGACATTTATATTTAGTAATTAACAGCCTTTAATCAAATATATTAGTTACCAAATTAAAATCTAACACAAAACCAAAATCACAAATGAGTAACCAAATATGGAATAGGTACCCATATATGGAATATAAGCATAAATCATCATATCAATAACAAAAATAGACATAATATCTATGAGATCAAATAAATTAAAATAACATATTGTTATAAACGAACGAAGTTACTAAATTCACTTCACACACAAAGCAAAAGTCACAGATCCAAGTATCAAACTCTGGACCAGCACAATCATAATGTGCCCAGAGTCCACACATCAAGCATTTAATCCAGCTTTCTCCACTTTTATCCATGGAGAAAAGGTTTGAACAGAACATACATTCTGCATCAGCAGAGTTAGGAGATACTTGGTCCATCAACTCATCATGTTCACTGTCTTCATCAAACTGGATGACGTCCCGTTCCTTCCGAGTCTTCTTCTTCACAATCATTTCTATTTTTCTTCGTTTGTTTGTTTCTCTTCGCAGTTTTCTTCTTATTCTTTGTCTTACTTTCTTTTTCTTGTCTCTTCATATTTTTATTTACTAAATAATTTTTGTAGGGTGAAGATGTTATGACTGTTGCTATAGCAGCTTTTCTTTCAAAATGCTGTGCTGCTTTCAAATATCCCATTTTATTTCCCCGGACGAATTTTATAGCTTCTGCCATTTTTTTCTTCATCCCAGGTTTTTCGTTTCTTGGTTGATTGTGAAGCAGACATTCTAAAAAACAAACATAACATAATTTTTTTAAAGAAATAGTAGCAAGTACCTAACATGTGAAATATAAAGACCTAATTATGGAATATTCCATAATTAGATACCGACGACTGTCCATATTTGGATTTTTATACTTGTTTAAAATCATCTAAATATTTTTTCAAATCACAATATTTTAATGACAGAATATCACAAAACGTTGAAATAAACATAATATCGATATACTAAATAGTAAAACACCTATGTATAAATACGTAATAACTGGTAATACTCAATTATTACTTACCTTTAAAAATTTCTGCGTGACAACAAAACAAAAAACACCGGCCACACTTGTAGCGTTCGCGCAACTAACACGATGGTGTGAGTGAGGTAGTAAATAGACCGAATGAAACAGAAGATGGTCATGTGTTTCGTTTCATACTTATATTCTTAGAGAAATTGCTTTATTCCATATTAGGATACTATTCCATATTTGGTGACTTTCCTCTATATATATACAAGATTTGCTCGTTTAAAGGATAAGATAGGAAAAATAAAACGCTCTTTTAGATGCTGAGGAAAATATGTATTATATAGGTGAATTATAGAGTATTAGCTGAAAGACTGGTTAGCAGCGTAGTGTTATGGGGCAGTAATCGATCAATGCGTAGAGGGCGATGCTGCACGGCGCTCCGGCGAAGGGCAGGGGGAGGAGCCACGCCGTCCCGACGGTCCTGGGCTTTTCAGACGAACCATTGTATCCAAATGACGGAACCTTGGAGAAAAACGTTATAGGTGCCTTAATAATCTATATAAGATATTACCAAACTGATTTGTCGTGTACCACTTAAAAATGTGTAAGAATATAATTTTCACTCCAATTAGTAGTCGCGACCAACGGCCACGGATTTTGTACGAAATTGCACTCGTCATTGAATGTGACAAAAACAATTACTGATACGCTCGAGTCATCTGATGAATAGTGTAGAGGTCATGACAATTATTCAGCAATGCTCATTTCTATGTCAGTGACATTGCAGGTGATGTTTTTTATGTCGTGTAAACATAAACGTATTTTTAGAAAATGTTCGTCTAGCGCTGGGATAATTATTTCATTTCATTTATCAGGATTCAAGATTTTATGAATCGAAATTTGCATCAGGCCGAGTAATTAATTTACTGTAGTTTTTCAAGTTATGCGTGTTTATCGTCGACGGCCCTATCTCAGAATAGGTATTCACGTGTACATTACTGTTTTCATATTTTCAAATATAACGATGGTGGAATTTTGCCTTTTACCGTAAAAAGTGATCGGGGTAGATTAAACACTTTTGTTTCGTGCTATGGAACCAGAAAAACGACAAAACACTGTCGCTACATCTTATTGTACTTTGATTTTTTAGATTCTATAAATATTTCTTGATTTCTTACTAATTCATAATTCGATAAAATAGTACAAAATCAAGTGCAAATTCAGTTAGCGCTCTGTCATAATTTTGTAACATTACAAAAAATTTTAAAAGATAATGCGCCAAGGTCTATGTGTATTATTTCATATTTACCTTAACGGCAGGTCATTATTCTCATTATCGACACTTTGGAAGAAAAATGCGAGAGGCCAGCTAATCCACGAAGATTGTTTCCTGAAAGTTTGCAAAATTAAATTCAGTAATTCTATTTAGAGCAGAATTGTTACCAAAAAAGTTTTATCTTATTGCCAATATTTGTGATTTTACATGTGCTGGAAACTGAATAATTGTGTTATCATAAAATTAAAAAAAAGAGATTTTTTCAATCTGATACGTACAAAATATTTTTAATCGAACATATTAACGGAGTTTACGGTTAAACTATCTCAAATATCCGAAATATATACCTACATATGTATATATATAATAAAAATGTAACTGAACGTTTTCTGTATATTGAAGTTATTTGAGAAAAACTATACAAACCTTTATCAACTCAAACCCAAAACAATTATTATTAAAATTTTTGTGTTTGTCTGTGCGTTTGTTGGCGCAAAAAACGGCTTAACCGATTTGGGTGCAACTTTCTCTAATGTCAAAATTTAAATCGATTCCTAAATAAAAAAAATTATATCAAAGAACCACATTGAAGATTTATGCGATAAAATGCTATATATTAGATACAGTTGAATTGGATGAAACTATTGTTAACTATATATTATGGTCTGATTATGATTGTAAGTTTGTATGATATTAAAAAAAATCAGCAAAGTGCGAGTCGTAGGTACTAGGTACTTTTTAGGCACGATATTTATTGTAGTAGGTACATGTGGGCGGAAAGACAAGCTAGGCTTTTAGAAGTATGCAAATGAGCTAAAGAAACGCATTTAATTTTGTAAAGATTTTCGTTTAGCATATGATAAATAAAGCGAACTTTAAATTGCCATCTGAACTGCTTATTGACCTTTATCTTTAAACCCAATTGGTAGAAACATAATATATCTGCTAATCTAATTATAATAAAAGTTGTATAAGTAAAGTAAAATAAAGATTATAACTGTACTTACGGGGTTGAAGGAAGTAAAGCGCCAGCCTCGGAAGGAGTATCGGGTGAAACGGGGGCTGCGGCGTGAGGTGGTGATCCCGGAGTAGTTGACACAGGCGGCGGGGTTTTGTTGATCGCTGGATTGTAGATCTTGGGGTCACTGACCATGCGCACGAAGAACGAACGCTTGTGGGCCAACGCAGCGCGGTGGCGTCTAGCTCTTTCTTCGTTCAAATCCTAGGGAATTATCAAGACAATTACCTTTATATCGAATATAAACTTTCCGGCTATCATCCCTAGACTATCTCATCTAGCAATCTTTTATTACTATGGTAGAGCCACGCAGCAGCTTCTGGTTGCACAAATGTGCAGGCTTCTCCGGGGAACTACACTCACAGAAGACCGTAAAGTGGACCATTGTCTTGCGTTTCGTTTGGTGAGTGAAGTAACCGAGGCCCAGTTCTTAATGGTTAGGTACCTAACTACACCCCGTCAGGTGCTGTAGATGTCTATGGGCGTCGGTTATCACTTAACATCAGGCGAACCGCCTGCTCGCTCGCCAACTATTCACATAAAAAATGCACAAAAGCAAATATCATAATAAGCACCTAATGGAGTTTTATTAAGGAATCTTTTCATTTAAAAATTATCTTGCAATTAAATTAATTTTATCCTTTTAAATTTTAATTTTATCCGTTTAGGCGGAACATATGAAATCTAAAAAATATAAAGAAGGCAAACTATCACACAAATTTTCACGCTACACTCACTCGTTCTTTGTCAGGTCCTTCCAGAAGTTCCGTAGCAAATTCGGTTATAATGTCCCATGCTATTTCTGCGAAAACAAGTAATTATATATTTTATAAACAGCGTTGAACTTTCGAATGAATTGAGAAATTACGTGGCATGGAGCACAAAATACAAAATTATAATAGGACGATACCGATGTCTTCGCGAGTGGCATGCTGGTAAACCACGCAAAACCGGATAACGTAGCGGTCCCGAAGGGAGGCCGGCACCATGTGGATTTTGCCGGAGGCGTTCATGGTGGTCAACAGCTTTTTGTTCAATTCGTCCACCTGCTCAGGAGTCTCGTCGGGCCCGCCCACGAGACGGAAGCAAACTAATCCCAACTGTTAAGCGATCGTTATTAATACGTATTATAAATAAAAATGAAATGACAGTTACTTTAGGGGTATGTTCTGACACTTTAAAGGACAAAAAAATGTCTTTAGAACATGGGTCATATAACTAATAGTTTCGAAGATTAAATGAAAATAAAATAAACTTTAACTGTTAATCCATGGGAATTGGGCTCTAATAAATGGTCCAGTAAATAACTTAAAGTTAAAAAATATTAAGGTAGAATATTTTCCACTTGGATTCACACGCGGTAGTCCGATATTGAAAAACTCATTGGCTACTGGAATTTGAACCTAAGGCATGAGATCATAATTCGAAGTTATAGGATTTAATCTGTAAAATTGTTATACTTTATTAGAGGTTTAAAAAGTTGTCAACAAAATCTTCATTACTAGCTTAAGTTCGAGCTAAGGTCTGACCGAGGTCTCGTACTCAGGCTATGATCATATGAATGACAATGTAAAAAAAGGTACGGAAAAATTAAACAAAATAATTACGGTCTTATATTAAAAGAGAGCGTAAAAAGTATCCCGTAAATGACGTGCATAATCGCTAAATATGATAATTCGAATTAGAGTATGGATATGTAGGTTACCTTTACATCATTGCAGACTTGGAATCTTTCGTCTTTTTTGACGAGCTGCTCAAAATATTTAGCCAGTTCACAGTGTCGCCTGACGTATTTCTGCAGACCAGTTATGCCGTAACTCCTTAGCATGAACCACAGTTTGAGTGAACGGAAACGGCGGCTCAGCGGCACACCCCAATGGCGGTAGTCGATGGCGGTGTGATCGTAGCAGTGTTGCAGATAGAGAGGATCCACGACCAAGGCGGACGTCAGCAGATATCGATTGGTCACCCACAGCAGGGAGCAGTCGAAGTTCGTCAACATCAATTTGTTCGGATTGGTGTTGAACGAATCGGCGTATTCGACCCCCGCTAAATGGTATTTGTGCTCGGGGCACAGGAAGGCACTGCCGGCGTAAGCGGCGTCCACGTGCAACCATACACTCGGGAATTTTCGCACCACGGGCCCTATTTCCGTCAGTTTGTCAAACGCGCAGCCCGAAGTTGTGCCTAAAGTGGTGGCTACGAAAAACGGAACGAGACCGGCTTCCTCGTCTTCCTCCATAGCCTGTAAGATTAACGATTTTCTGAGATGCTTCAGAGAATTATATGTTCGTTTTGTTCAAGTCTGACAACGGGAAAGTTAGGTACTCAAATACTAGTTTTTACGTGTTAATTAATTATTCCCTTATTATGTTTCTATTATATTAATATTTAATAGTAATATTTACTATTAAATATTAATCTAATAGAAAAGGAGTTTATTTAAATTTTAATATTTATATGCTTCTGGATAACACAATTTTCCTAGAGGAAGATATAAAAGAGCTAATCTCAAGCGTACAAATATGCTAGGAATTTGAATCGGATAATATGAAACAGTTCGGCACGTGTGACGGTAATGCTCAAGGTTTTTAAATCATGTCTGATGAAGACATTGTTAAGAATATATTGCTTCCCTAGCAAACAACGGGATGTTCAAGAAAATGAAATAGAAAAAAGCGTAGAAATAGAAACATTTCATACTCAGGAAACAGGTTTTGGTTCCATAAACAGAGTGTGATACCATGAATTTACAACGTTTGAAAATTGAGCACCATTGAATAGAAAACATGATGATGTCAGACCAAATTCAACTACAATCCCATAATTATGATTTCACAGCTAAAGTTGCAGCATTTTATTTTATATATACAGCGTGTCGTTACCATCGCGACAATAAATGAACACACGTCTAATGCTACTTGCCAATAATCGTAAAAAAATATTAACGTTAAACAAAATCCATAATTTAAAAAAAAATATTTTTCAAACAAACTAATTAAGTAAAAAAGAAACAAAATTTGTAACATCCTATACAATGCCACAGCGTCGTATTACAAGCCTCTCCTTCTAACAGTATGTTTTGTCTCTTTTAAATTCATTCAACCCATTAATATGCTTTGGGACCTTTACAAATGAACTTTACGTTATAGTTTTATACGTAAGGGTATTCTAAAATTGTTTGTTTTGGAAAATTTAATAACTCGGTAAATATTGATGTTTAAAGAATGTAAATGTTTAATACAATTTTAAATACTTATCTTCTATATGTGTGTTCATTTATTGTCGCGGTGGTAACGACACGCTGTATAATCGGAATCTCGGAAACGGTTCCAGTGATTTTCATGAAATTTAGTAAGTATGTGCTTAGATTGGGGGGTGAAAAATCGGTCCAGCTGGGTTTAATTTTTAGAAAATGTCCTTTTATCCCTGTTTTCAGGGAATGAAAAATATCACTCGAATATGACGGTAAATTTTGCCGCAAAAAAATGTTATAATAGGTCGGTCGGTAATCGGCCGGCCCCGAAGCAGAAGGCCGCGGTTCGTGTCACGATCATTTACACAATTATTTTTTTTTACTTTTTTTTATATACCAGATTATCATTGCTATCATTGCTTTCTTTATTTTTATTTTTTTAATTTCCAAAATACACGATTTACCAAAAAAAAAACCGAGCAAAGCTCGGTCCTCCAGGTACTTATTTTATTTTAATACGAGTAGGACCGTTATAGCTCAGTGTCCGGGCGCTCGCCTTTAATTCAATATACTCGAGCAAATTGAGTTTGATCCCCGGTGCCGGCACCAATAAAGTTTTTAACTTTAAGTGCTGACTTATCACGTTCTCCGCGGTGAAGGAAAGCAACGTGAGGAAACCTGCATATTTTCGAAATAATAACAAAAAAAAATATTTCTCGAAGATATGTGAAGTCCGCCGATCCGCAGTGGGGTCGCGTGGTGGACTATGCCTTGTGGACATGTATAGGCTGTTACTTTACTTTACTTTACGAGTAGGGCGCATAGTGTTCGATTTTTTTACGTTTAGTGACGAGCATTTACACACTTTTTTTTTTTTTTTGAGATTCCTGATCATTGCTTTCTTAATTTTTTATTTTTGTCGATACAGATGATTTTGTTCTTTTTTCCCTTTTTTTTAAGTTCTTTCTTTTATGAAAAACACCAGTTCATATTTTCTTATTATAACGTCGTTAAGATTGAAAAATTTTATGCATATTTCATTACTCAGTAATTTGTATCTAAATGTAATTTCCAAAATACATGATTTACCAAAAAAAAAAAAACAAGCCGAGCAAAGCTCGGTCCTCCAGGTACTATAATTTAATAATGAAACGAAATGCATTGATGAAGGAAACTTCATTATTAAATTACAAAAGGGCACTGCAGCAAACTGTGTTGTGTTAAACTTTTCTATAATAAATAATCTAAATTCGGGTTTTTCATATTCGGTTTAATCTATCATAGAAAATGTTCCGTTATCAATCGCGAGCCTCGGAACCAAATGGAACTCAATTAAGGCGTTCTTCGTTTATAAACGGGCAGAATCGTGAATTTCAGTATTTGCGTCATAGAAAGTGGTTCACAATGCGGCCGTATCGTCCCTCGGCCCGCCACGTATTTCCGGAATCCGCGGGCTAGTCATTAAACGCCCGACAGCGGTGGCTGCGGAACATCACGCCGCCGTCGTCGCCTCCCGCCTTTTCAATTATCTCCCGATTATCTATATCGCCACAGAAACTGCACAACATACCTCATTCATTCTAAACGCCTAGATTTAGCTGTTTTGCGGTTAAAGCGTTCCAAAAAGACAGAAAGAAAAAAACAGCAAGGTGTTAGTTGAATAATCCCAAACTGCCATTTTTTTTTTTTCACTTAATGAAATTTTAATTTTAACTGCTTGATAAGATTCAGTTTAGTAGGTCCAACAAATTCCATGTTTGCAAGATATAAAATACGAGTATTACTATAATCAAATTAGCAAATTATCATTGATATTTTAGATTGATTTATTTCCTCGCCAAAAATAATCCGGGTCTCGTTTCCGTTACAGTATTTTTCTCATTTCATACATTACGGTATATGAATTTTATCATCATAAATAATATTAACACAAAGGTACCCGAGAAGATGTTTTTCACCACATTCAATATCCACATCTTTCTGTGAATCTTACAATCTATGAGAGAAGTCGATGTCGAGTCGGGTTAATGATTCATGTACTTACTTGTTTTAAAGTTTCACCTCTTAATGCACCGTGTTCGTCAGTTTCTAGGATACGCATTTTGATGAAACTTATCATGGCGGCCTTTTCAACGCAGGAGTGCGCCTCTTTCGAACAGTAAGCGATTAGCTTTGATAGCAGAAGGCCTTCATCCACTGTCGGGAACTGGTGCTTCAGCCGCTTCACCCCGTTGGCCCTTGCAGCGAGCATACATACAAGGACACATTCGCTCGCCGAACCCTACAGAAATTACGGATGTCTGTCACTGATTTGAAAACTAATACTAGTAAATGCAAAGGGTGTACATGTAGTAGTCGTTATAAACGAGTGTAACTATTTAATGCCGTCCTACTTACTTCAATAACGCCGCCTCCTTTGCTGCCTTCTTCAAGAGCTAAGAAAGCGGGAGGCAAACCGATCGCTTTACCTATATGAAATGAAAAATATGCTGTATTACCATAATCTGTAACTTACATAAAAATGTAAATTCCTTTAGTTTTAAAAGTAAATCAGAAATAATTTTGTATTTTGCAATACTAACCCATCCAATCAAGCATTATGATCTCTAGCTCAGTGCATGCTGGACTCGCAGCCTGAAAAAAATTTATACCAAATTAATAAGAATCCGTAACACAATTCTAAATGACGTTTTAAAGTGTGTTAGTCTAAAAATTCACTAGTAAATGTGTCATAGATTGGCTTTTACATTATGTGCCTGGTTTTATATAACGAACTTGAAAATGAAAGGGAAATCTATAACATCATATCAATAACAATAAAATTTGAAAAAAATATTAACTTGAAATATCTTACTCACTATAGGTATATTTTCTATTTAATTTTGAGTAGTTCACCTATGTATCTCTGGAGTCCAATGTCCAATATAATCGAAATCAATATGGGGAGGGACCACGTGGCTAGACCGAACTCAATACAAAAATAATTTTTAAAATTGGTATATAAATGACGGAATTTTAGGGTTGAAAATCAATTGGCGTTAATCTAAAATCAGAGTAAAGAATTCCCCACTATGCATACTCAATTTGTATAAACCTATCATTTTAATGAAATATTATTTTTATAGCCCATTGAAACAATACGCTTAAGGTATACAGGAAACACATGTATGTATGTCATTACATTGCTTAAAGGGTATTTATTACTTTTATTGCGAAGGGTATTTATTACTTTTTAAGTCATGAGGCTATAGTCACTTCAATACCACGGTTTTTTGCATTCAGACGCTATTGTACATTAAAAATCTCATTCTTGGGTCTCATTATTTTTATCTGCAAAATAGGATATTACAGATTATCAAAGCATGCCTATTACAAAACATTCATATCAAACACAATAGGTGCTGATAAAAGAAATTATAGGTTCTTCGTTGTAAATTTGCTTCCATACCAAATCCATATATTTGGTATGGAAGCAAATTTGATTGCTATAAAATGCAATTATCATTTAAGATAGGTTTTATGGAATTTTTTTCACATCCATGAATTTATTATGTAACGATAACAAATATATCTACTAGTTTTCTAGTACCATTTATGGTAGTCAGAGTAAGTAATTAACAATTTTTAGCCGTATTCAGGCGATCTCGTATCTATATCGATAATATCGTAAAGAAACCTGCATATCAGAGAATCAACCAAATAGAAAACAGGAGAAATATGCCTCTGCAATACATTAGTCTAACAGTGAAATATACATACATAAAGTAACACATTAACAGCCTATTATATTATGTATGACCCACTGCTGGGCAAATAGGGCTAATACTATATTTACAACGAAAACGCCTTCTTTAAGCAGATGATATTTTAGTAATATAATATCCGTAATATAATAGTCGCGTGATGCTAAAATTTATATTAGAAATCACGCGACGTGGTTATAAGTCAGCACTTTAAATTGCAATTAACTATTTAAGTGGTGATGGCACCGATATTTCAACTCGGGCTACACGAGTATATTAAATTAAAAAGGACTGCCCGAACACTGTGCTATCACGGCTACGCTACGGTTACACGGTATACAGGGAGACTTTTTTAAAGCTGCCCAAATTTACACAGGGGTTCAGACTCGGTAGTATCATCGTTTATTGAAATAAAAACAAACGTGTTTTTTTCAATAAAAATTCCATTCTATTCCCTAAAAACAGAACTTGTTGAAAATGCGGTAGTCATTCATAAATACCTAAATTTTACTGTTCACGCACATAAACGAACTTGTGTGCGTGTAGTTATGAATGATCGCGTGTAAAATAATGAGTTATCATTTTTTATATTAAATTATTTATGTCTAGAATTTAATTAAAAAAACGGATACACTTAGTAAAGCCTCCTTGTATAAAACATTAATGTTTCTGCTATGTGAAAGCTGTTTTTTATGTAAAAAAAAAAGTGTGAAGTATAATAATTCTATTTCACGCCGGTCTTCTGTGAGATCGTAGTCTTCCCCGGACGGACCTGCCCATTCGTGCTACATCGAAGATTGTTGCGTGGCCCGACCATAGTTAAAATCTATGTATGTTTCCTTTGGAGTCCAAAACGGCTACACCGATAATCACAATTTTAAGCAATCTTCAGATTAGCCCAGCGATAACCCTCTACCGCTTATAAAGTTTACTACCACATAACTAACGATCTGATGAACAGAATCTCTTTTTTAGGGTTCCGTATCGCAAGAGGTGAAAGAAGGAACCCTTATAAGGTCACTCTCTTGCCGATCTGCCTCCGCGTGTGTCACCACCGATTTTCTCAGGAAAGGGTGGACGTAGCCAGTTTAAATTTATACCAGATACTTAGGTCTATAGTCCCTATTAGGTGTATGAATAAAAATAAGTAAATCAAGGTCCTGAGTCAACACGATAAAAAGATATGGGCAAATTTAGATTTTCGACGAAACTTGTAAGTATCAAAATTTGCTCAAATTTTCTACTTTTTTATTTTTCGGAGTATTTCCTTTACTTGGGCTGTCACACCTTGCTTTGACTAAAATTGACAATTCTAGTTCCACCGGAAGTACCCTATAGTGTCCCAAAACATACATAGTTGACGCCAATGAAACTAGTCTTCTGAGTTATGGGCCCTCATACAAATACAATTTACAATATCCGCTTTTTTCTTTTTGGATAATTAGTATTACCCGTGCGAAGCCGAGTGCGAGTTGCGTATCTTAATAAATAAAAAAATTGCTTCAGAATGTTTGGTTCTACAAAACTAAAACATAGCCGATGGTATTAACCTGACATTTATTCACATAGGCATTGAATATAAGATCGTTTTTATACACTTTTTTATTTCGAAATTCTAACGGAAACCAAAAAAAGTCACAATAAAAATGGATGTGCGTATATATGTATGTTTCCTATGTACTCCAGATCTGCGAAACTAATTTTAATGAAATTTTCAGGTAGATTAGCCCACATGTTATCAGAATAGGCCAGTTAGTGATCCTGTGAAATTTGGTGGCGATAGGATCAACAGATTATTTCATTTATTGTTAAAAAAAATATTGTTATACATTAAGTTTTACATTTTATAAATCATAATGACAAAATGGGAGATATTTTATTTTATTTTTGTCAGTTTCTGTTTTTCTGTCTCCTTTCTAATTATACTCCTAACTAGATAATTCGGTCGGTCTTCGGGTTAATTGAGTCGTTACGAATTAAATTAATTTATTATAAACTAATGTATTTATTCATTTTATTATTCAAAATTTAAGGTACGCAAGTTAAGCCCTTCGAATAGAGCAGAGCGTCCGAGATGGTGGCAAATACGACAGGACCGAAGATTTCGTTGAAAACTTGATATTTGGTTAATAAGTAATAAAAAATCGTAGTGTCTACTACAATATTTATTGAAAATTAAATACGCATTGGTTTGGATTTAAAGTGTTCACGAGTCTTCAAGAAACAAAAAAATTCTAAATACTTACTTATTAATAATTTCACGGTCTAAATAATGGTATGAAGTAATGTTCATTTACTTAGAAGACCGTTCGAGAGAACACTATCTAAATATATCCGTTTTTTTTGGTTTATAATAGAATCTATTAAAAACCAAAAAAAACGGAAACAAAGTGTAATTTAATATTTTTATTATTAATAAATTTTATTAATAAATCATTCATCATCATTTCAGCCTGTAAGCGTCCACTATTATACTAACTATGATCAATTTCTGTAATTGAATTTTTATGCCATTAAATGCGAGGTCATTATCTGACAAGACAGGTTTATATTTTCGTTATAAATTTAGAAGATTCGGACAAAACACAATTTAGTTTTCATGATGATAACAAATAATGTATCATTTAAATTTTGATAAAATGTGAAGAAGATTAGAAAGTTATTATTGGCCACGGATTTTACTCTTAATGCAAATTTTCATAATTTTTTTTGTAAAAATGTATAAATTTTGATTAAAAAAAATAAAGTTTTTGATTGGAGAACTTCAAGAAAACTGAATGGATGTAATTACCCAAGAGAAACCGATGCATGCTATTCCCGCTGACAACATATCACCCAAAATCGACGGGTAGCCGTTTCCAGATGGAAAATATGCATGGAAGCGCGGATGCTGCCAGTGCGTCAAGCCCGGCATGATCTTCTTCTCGACGTCGCACATAACCTCGTCCCATGACTCTGGATACTGGGGCGCTTCAGACGGCAAAGCGGCGCGAAGGTACCCCGGCTCCACGGACGGCGTCACGCGGCGTGAGCGTATAGTCGTCATGTACGTGCAGATGTAGTCCACCATTTCCTTTCCGCGTACCCGAAACTCCTCCACGTCCATTGCGGTCCGTTTAAACTCTTGGCTAACTTGAAACGTGCTCAGGGCGATCCTGCTGAGGTACGGAACGTGCCTGCGATGTCGACGGCGATCCCCGGCTGACTCGACGGCCGCGCTGCCAGCACACGCTGGTGGAGAGGTTGGGCGGGCTAACGCGGGGAGGGCGCCAACGCGTGTTGCCCGCGCTCTATAAGGGGTTAAGTAAAGAGGCGAGCGCAGCGACTTCTTATTTTCTTCACATTGCTTTTAATTTTTGAATGACATCGTGATAACACTATGTAGTGTCATCACTATAATAGGCGATATAATAATAAATAGGCATTTGCAACTTACCAAGTTTAACTAACTTACGACGCAAATTGGGCGAATTATGAATTCGTTTTCGTGAGATTTTATCACGTTTTTAAATAAAGCTATTTAGCCAGCCTGTGAAACTAACACGAAGCGCATGAATTTTTTGACAATTTCTTCTATCTTCTATGAATAATTTGTTATCGCAATTCACATTTATCTTTGGTACAATACTACTTAGGCTACTTCATTCTACGATAAATTTTAATAATTAAGGCAATATTGATAACGAAGCTAGGTCTATTACATACTTACATTGTAGTAGTAATTTTGAAATCGATGAATCGCTTATCGCTTCTGCGTGTACTATTTACACACCACGAGTCCGACGCCTGCCCGCCCCAATGACACTTCATTCAGTCGTAGTCAGCTGAACGTTTTCCTTCTTACAAAGAATAGGAACAAAATTCTAGTAAACTCTTAACTCTTACTATCACAATTTCAATTCTTGAGCTTAAGATTTATTGAGGTATTTCGCTGCAAATAGTTTGTGAATTCTTGAAAAGAGCAAAAGTTGATTGATAACTTTTACTAAAGCCTTATGTATCATTTCAATAAATAAGTATATTGTAAACTGCTTTCCGAACCGGTAGTAACTTACGAACGTATTAATTTTTATGTAAAATTTAGACATTTCATAAGAACGCGCAAGGATCTATGTGAATAAATATATTTTTGATTTGATTCGATTTGTAGGTATACAGCGTGTCTTTACAATCGCAATAAATGAACACACATATAGAGGATAACTTTTTAAAATTATAGTAAACATTTACATTCTTTAAACATCAATATTTACAAAGTTACTAAATTTTCCAAAACAAAGAATTTTAGAACACCCTTACGTATAAAACTGTAACGTAAAGTTCATTTGTAAAGGTCACAAAGCATATGAATGGGTTGAATGAATTTAAAAGAGAAAACATACTGTTAGAAGGAGAGGCTTGTAATGCGACGCTGTGGCAACGAATGAAAAAGTCTCTGAATTTATGAATCAGTCAGTTGTAGTCGTATAGGATGTTACAAATTTTGTTTCTTTTTTACTTAATTAGTTTCATTGAAAAATATTTTTATTAATTATGGATTTTTTTAACGTTAATATTTTTTATGATTATTGGCAAGTAGCGTTAGACGTGTGTTCATTTATTGTCGCGATGGTAACGACACGCTGTATAAATTAAGTTAATTGGGTAACTTCAATGTTGCACAATCAATTTGCAAAAAAAAATTTTTCATGAATTAATAATAATCATACATTTTCTTCGGTAACAATAGTTTAGTGAACGTCCAACTTAAACCAACTTCAAGACAAGTATACTTACCTATATTAAATTTGTGAAAAATGTTATTGTTTCACACTCTCACACTACACATATTTTTCATGCAATGAGAAAGTTAACTTTTATGTTGATAGAAATTAAACTAAAAGAATATCAAAATCTAAAAAAATGAATATAGTTAATATACTGCGTAAAAATCCACATCTGAATATCGATTTTTTTTAATAAAACATAAATACTATATGAAACATATATAACTCCTTATTACATGAAGATTTTCATTACTATCCTTACTAATCTATCTGTCTATAATACAAGTAACAATTGTGTCTTCGTTTTTCAGTCTCCCTAAAACTTACGAAATACAGAAACAGATTTTATTTCTGATCATATTAAATTCTAACGTGTATATCATCGTAATGAAAATTCACAAATTCAATTTATGTATCTATTTAATAAAGACTAATCACATTATAAATAAACCACAGCAAACAAAAATATAACGCTTATAGAGAACGAAAAAGCCAAAGGGATTTACTTTGATCTCAAATCATAATGGATTAGTTCTCCTTTTGAAAATCTGCGCCACCGTTTATAGATAAATTTCATTAACCGACTTAAAAAATAAGTGGTTCTATTTTGGACTGACTGTATATATATATTTACGTATGTTCACCAATATATTCGTCAATTTTAGACTGATTTTGATTTTTTTTCTCGTTTGATTCAAGATATTTGTAGTCGGTATTGTTTTTTGTTAATTAAAATATTTTACTTGCTTAATGTTAAACTTACTGCATAGTTAACTGAAAATAAAACTTAAAACCAAACATGAGTAATGTAAATTAACGATATATAGAAAGAAAAAAATAATTAACACGTAGATGTAATGGAATAAATTTAATAAAATTTAATAAAGGATTAAAAGGCTGTGAAGTGGTCGACTCATCGCATAGCTACAAGTGTGCCATGAATATTCAGGTCAAAAGCGTATCCTTTGATTACATCACAATTTTTCGTGAAAAGGCACTGGGTGTCGGGTGGCGTCCGTAATCAGGCACTTAAATTTTCAGCAATACCAACAGAATTATCAAAATAAGTATAAAACCATGATTCTTAATGAAAAAACTATTTATGTACATTATATAATATTTTAAATATTTTCTTTCCATATCTCATGAAAGGTCCCTTCGTTCTTTTGCCAATCTCTCCCTCCAAATTCCTGTACATTCCTCTTCCTTCTTCAAAGAATCTTTTACAGTGACAGCTTTACGTTTGTGGAACTCTTTGCCCCTTCACGTTCGACAAGCTAAGTCTCTTCTTTCTTTTAAAAACCTAGTAAAAGCTCATTACTTGGAACTGTGAACTCATTGATGTACAAATGCCTTCTTCCGATGTTTAGTGTTTTAAGTGATTCATGTACACTTCCCTCTGCTCTCTTCTTTATGTCTCATTAGCAAAAATTCTTTTCCCAATGGTTGTCTGGAAGAAATCGCTTCCTTACTTCATTCTCTTATGTGCCGCCACTTTGGGGCGATCATAAAAGCAGCGGGTAAAAGGGCTCCGGATTATCTGATTTATTTCGGCAAACTGTCTTGTCTAACACTTTCGGTAAGAGTAGTTAACTAAACATCTGGATGCGTTAACCCGAAGAAGCAGGCTCGATTCCCGCAGCTTTGAAAGCTTTGTTCATTTATGTACAAAAACTGACATTGTAAATTTAATCTTGAGTGCGCTAAAAATTAAAATTAATCATAAAACAAGGAAATAAACGTTTATGCTCAAAGACAACTAACGTTTATTATTTTTACTTATTAAGCGACGACATTTACTTTTATGTTTGGCAAATAAACGAGGAACAATATTAAAAACATAATTCATAATACTAATTATATTTTGTAAAGAGTCCTACGTATCTAACTATAAATTTCAAAATAACGGTACATAAATGTGTACAGTGAACCGCAAAATACTTTTTTTATGTGAGATGGCGGCAAACGAGCATCAGTTCACCTGATGTTAGGTAATAACCGCCGCCCATCGCCATTTGCAATACCCGTAGGGTTGCAGGTGCCTTACTACCTTTTAATAAAGTGGGCCCGGCTACCCGATTCACCAGACAAAACGCAGAAGTATAACACAACCACTTCACGCCGGTCTTCTGTGAAGTCGTGGTATTTACCCGGAAGTACATGCCCATTCGTGCATCAGCGAAGACGTGGCCCTACCATGGTTAACATTAATATTAAATATGAACTTTATATAATTTTCATTTCTCGCTCAAAGGTTAAGCATAACTATTCAGCGAGGAAATGCAGCTAGCATTCTTGACACCATACCGCGTGGACTAGGTTTTTAGATAATATGTAATTTTAGATAGATTTAATGTGTAAATGTAATGTGTTGTAAACGTTGAATTAATAAATAAAAAAACTTAATTAATAAATGTAAAGTTAACCACCGTTAACTTCAGTTAATACCATATAGATCTCAATTCTTTACCATGAATCCAGTGAAATTTTTAAAACGTCGAGAGGTGAAATTCGAAATAAATGTGAAATTTTTAAAAACTCCTTTATCCGTGTGAAATGTAATATGGAAGTATTATTTTTTAACTTTAAAAAATCTTTACCGTTACTTGTATTACATTTAAAAAAACAAAACACTTTATTTTTTTCAAATTGTCATTTACCGTTTGACCGGTTGCAAATTCGAATAATAAATATTCTTCGGTCAAACATCAGTAGATATATGACATAGATATTTATAATAATTTTGTCTTTTTTTTCATTAAGGGAGATAACTAAATCGTTTCACAATCAATAATATTGACAATTTTGAAAATTACAGACACTACCAAGAAATGCCAAATGCTATGCCAAAAATATATTAAAAATATTTACTTGCAAAATATATATGTAATAAGTATATGGACCTTCTTTACTTCTTTGGAAATGAGAGTATAACGCAATTTTAAATGTCAATAGTTTCAATACTGCAAATTGGGACATTATGCTAAGATCGTCTGCACGCTAACAATGAAAACGAATCGTTCGTTCACAACAGGTACTTGTTATAATAACAAACGTTTTTTTTTCTCTCTCTCTCTGTTATAAAGGTATCCTATAAATTTACAATTGCTCACCCTACAAAAATCTGCACGAATGATGTCCTATTCCAATGGCATCCTATAAAGCTAATTTTGACAGTCAATATTGTTTGTGATAAATTAAATTATTACCCTTTGCGCTTACAAATTTTTGGCATTAGCCAGACAACCATCAATCAATAGAAATATGTAAGTAGTTATCGACCGATTTCAAAAAAGGAAGAGGCTCTCAGATCGTTTGTCTTTTTAAACGATTTTATTTAGTTCGACCCGTACGGAATTTATTTGTTTATTTATTTGGGTCAAAATTAGAAATTGAAATTTAAGCACCTTCCCGTTGTCAGATTGATCTGAAATTTGGTACACACATTTAATTTAGATGACAATACAATATTGTAGTTTTCAGTGCACATAAAATAAAACCGTTTAACTTAAAAGTTTTTAAACGGTTTTATTTGTTTGCTACCACAGAACTCAGTCCTTTACGAATCCACTTGACAAAATTATATTTGCATTAGTTTCGGTTTAGCTTCCATGTGATGCCATGTTAAAGCTTAAAATGCTTTGATTATACACTTGACAAGTATAGGTATTATCAAATAGAAAATGTATAGTGAGTGATATATATTTTGAAGTCGGTTTGCTTTTTTGTTAATAAAAATGTACTTGTGTATTAAATGCTAAGGAAGAATGTATCACTTAGTTCGCTGACTTGAATTTCAATAATTCGTATGTAATCCACCTATTGGTGTCGTCGAGCGTCGCTACGGGCGACGGAGGGAGTTCGAAGCACGCCGAGGAGTCGGCGCCTTGGAACGCGCATTCTTCCTCGCTCCTGAATACCAATGGCATATTATTATGTGTGATCTTCCCTCTCACTGTGCAATATGCTTCCACCGACTGGCTCCATTGACGTCTCACTTGAGTACTTATAGACTAGATCACGTATTGCGTGATGTAAAAATATTGTTCCCCTGGAAATATTTTTTTTATTATGGTGCCAATTTAGCACATACAAAAATAAGACCACACTCGGAGAATTCAATTAAAAATGAACTAGTCTCTATACATATACGGCCGTTGGATGCTTAAAGATGTATATGACGTGGTGTATAAACAGGCTATAGCACAATTATTGTTTGATATTTCAAAGGTATAAAAGCATAAGGTATGGACGTACGCTTTTCCCATATACCTCACAACCTTGACAGCAGGTTGTGAGGTATATAATAACGTTTATAATATTTGATAGCAACCCATCAATCAAGCAATCCATTCTCCACAGCATAATAAAATTAAAAAAATACTTGATAAATAATTTTAATCTTAATAAAATTAAAAAAATACACATACATCCTTACTAATATTATAAAGTCGAAAATTTGTATGTATGGATGGATGTTTGTTACTCTTTCACGCAAATACTACTGAATGTATTTTAATGAAACTTTACAATAATATAGCTTATACATCAGAATAAGACATAGGCAATAATTTATATACATCTTTTTATGTATGTCTTTCTGTCAGAATGTTACGCCTTCAGCCTATTCTTCGCAGACGTAGTCGCGGGCAGCAGCTAGTTCAAAATATTTTTTTGTTTTATTCAATAAAACGGCCCCTTAAATTCACAAGCGAGCGATAAATACATTAAGCGTATTTGTAAAACTTTTACAGATCTTTATGCGTATCATGTTGTGAACGCGTGGTTGATATAGCTATCAGCTGCCTTGCGCACGCTCAAGTAAAACAATTAGGCGCTCCTCCCCTAATCGAATTGGGCGCTACGCCCTCCGCCACAGTTATTGAACGCGAATTTAGTTTTCTACGGTAAGTTAAACAAATTATTTCAAGCTAATTACAGAACATATACTTGTCTATGTTCTGTATTTAGCTTGAAATCATTTGTTCCAACATTTGAACGTCATCGCATTACTTTTATTTTAATGTTGCCGTCAGTGAGTATATAACCAATTAGCTTTTCGCTCGCGGCTTCGCTTGCGTTGAAGCCCTTTAATAAAATAATTTTCTTTAAAACATATACAGGGTGGCTTTTCTAAAGGCGCTCAAATTCACACAGGAGGTTCAAACTCGGCAGTATAATCGTTTATTGAAATAAAAACAAACTTTTTTTTTTCCAAAAAAAATTACAATTGTATTCCCTAAAAACAGAACTTGTTCACAATGCGGTAGTCATTCATAAATGCGTCGCATACTTTTGAAACGAACTTGTGTGCGTGTAGCTATTTTCAACCCTGTACCACACTTTGTTCCAATTAAAAAATTGAATATAATATTTATGTCCTTTCTCTGGCTCTAGACTATCTGTGTACCAAATTTCATTTAAATCGGTTCAGTAGTTTACCGTGAAAGCGAGACAGACAGAGTTACTTCCCATATATAATATTAAGTATGGATTGGGTAAATATTCGCTTGTTTTAATAAATAGAAGAGTTATTTTTCAATATATCTATTCTCTCTAAAATATGTTTTTATGTTAGCAGTATAAGGAGAAAACGTTTTGTGTCTATTAATAATTTTTGTTTATATGTAATGGATGGACGAATAGAGTAATAATACTTATTATAGCAGCTACACATATTAATGCCTAATAATTATTACTTTGCTTAGAATTAATTTTCCCTATTTTATTGTTTCCATCATGATCTATCAACATAAAGTTTGTTATAAATTCAATATCAGACGCATATTCAATTTGATTTCTTCCCAAAACTCGTTATCGCTCATAACTCGTTTATTACCTTTTTCAGTTTTTGGCTTTTTAAAAATTGTAATGACAAAATGAAATAGTGTAAGACAAATGTAACATTATTTATCTAAAATGTAAATCGATAACTTTAACTCAAGATAAATCGCACGTTTTCTTTACCACCACCGCGATAGAAAACGATCGGGAATTTCCAAGGAAATAAGAAAGTCATATAAGAAAAGAAAATAGACTTGTTGAAATCTAATTTCGCGTAACCATAACGAGCAGGCACTCGAACGCGATGAGCTATCCACGACAGACGCCCGACTCATATCCATTCCTTAATTGAGATGCTTTCTTCGCTTAGATGCCTTTAGAAAAATTAAAAAAGAATTCATAACCTCAGCCATAACTATAATATAAATACGAAGGCACAGCTTGAAATTTTTTTTGTAAAACTATATAAGTAGGTAGAAAACAGAAACACAATTAGAAAGAAAATCACTAGACAAATCATTAAATTAAGAAGTTTATTAGCAAAAAAAAGTTATACGATCACCGTTTAGCACATGAACCTTCACTCTATCAAAGAATTTGTTGCTCTTTGAGGAAGAATCAGACTCTCTTTTAGTTAACACAGGCTACAATTTATTCAACAATGAGTCAAAATATTTGTGAATTACTTTACTAATAAATTTTAATTTCATAAAATTTTGGGAAAAATTCACAGTGGTGGAATACCAACAATCAAGATGGTATCGAGTATGTTTAACTGTTTGTCGCGTTGTACGCTGGTAAAAATCGGCAACAAGCATTAATCTGAACAAATCTTCAAAGCACTACCCATGATAAATGTCTGATTGTCCTGGTCGTCGACCATTCGAGTTGGATGTAGCCAATGAAATGAGGTATGGTGTTGCTGAGAGTTGAGGACAGTGCCATGTGATGTCGAATTGACGCTTTATACTGCCGCTGGCAATGGGCCAACAAAAAGTACTTTTACTCTATTTAGGACACCCACATTTTTAGAAGTCAACTTGGGTTTATCTTCCAAGTGACTACGTAATTGAATTTTTCTAGACATTTCAACATTAGAAACTCCGATCGATAATGGAAAGCTTTCTTCGATGTTGTATCAAATCAAGGCAACAAAGGGAGTAGGGCATTCAAAAAAAGGAGATAGGGCGAAGTGTTTCCTCTTAGCGGTAAACGCGCTCGATTGTGTCTTCTTAGGTTTAAATTGGACTAAATTTAGTCAGATTACTCTAGCCCTTCATCTAATTCTTGTTAATTCTAAGGCATGAATTTGCTCATTTTTAACTATGCGCTCCAAGTATTTACAGAAAAATCGGTGAGAGATTTGGAATATGCATCGAGTGTTGAATATCCATTCATAAAGTTATTATAGACTTTTAGAAAAGATAGTTATAGATTAGTTCGTTAAGAAACGATATTAAGTTAGTTTTAGTTTTATTCAACCTTTTTTATTTTCATGCATATCATTCTTAGCTCAGATAAAAACTACAAACCTCTAGCTAAGTTTGAAAATGTTTTTTTTTTTTTCAAATATTTGTCAATCAAGCAAGCGGTACAATTGATATTAAATGATTATCGTAGCCTATTGATATCTGCAATATCTGAGGAATTGCAAGTTCCAAAAGACTGTCAGTCTTTAAAAGTTGATCCCTGTTACCTCATATATACGGTCCTTACATAAGAAAGAAGCGTTTTGTCGTACTGACCACTTTGATCTGAAATATCCCCTCTTTGAATAAGAATTCCAATTTCAAATTTATAAATTCATTTAGCTGGTACATTTGAGTTTTGAAAACAGTCATCATTTTTCCTCATTATTTTGTTCTTTGGCGTCGCTTATTACTGCACAATGGAAATCATGAAATATCGGTATATTTCCGATTAATTGTTCTACCGTGGCACCAGTGCTGCAGAAACAGCTCGAAGGATTAATGATGTGTACGGCGCTGGTGTTGCAAAAGAAAGCACGGGACGTTTTTGGTTTTAATGTTTTTGTTCTGAAAATTTCGACCTAAAGAACCAACCCTGTGGACGGCCGAGACCAAAGTGGAAATTGAACAATTAAAGATTATTGTGGAATCGGATCCATCACAAAGCACTTCAGAGATAGCTGCAGGCTTCGGGGTAAGTGATAAAACTGTATTAATCCACATGAAGCAAATCCGGAAAGTAAAAAAAAAACTTGAATGATGGGTACATCGGGGTACGATCATGAATTGAGTGAATCGAACTTGCAAACACGCGTCCACTGCTGCTGCTATTTTAAATCGTATCATTACTTGTGATGAAAAGTGGATACTGTACGATACTCGGAAGCGCTCGTCGCAATGGCTGAGCCCTGGATACCCAGCCAAATCCTGCCCTAAACGAAAATTGACTCAGAAAAAGTGACTTGTGAGTGTTTGGTGGACTAGCGCCGGTATCGGTCACTGCTTTCTAAAATCTGGCCAAACGATTACGGCAGATATCTATTGTCAGCGACTGCAGACCATGAAGGATGCAGGTTGATGCCAATATAATATGACAAAGTTAAGCTTATCAAAAATATGTATATTTATAAATTAATTATTATAAATATATAAAAAAAGCAATAAATATGAACTCACTGCTGCACCGTTACCAGCCCGGTTGATGTACGCGCGGCCGTGACAACACAAAAAGAAAAAAATGTTAATCAAAAAAGAGTATGGACCACGAGTCTGCAGAGGAAGTTTAATTAAATAAAAAAACCATAAAGGAAAACTAGCTGCTAAACAACCGAGATTGGTCAATCGCTCTAGGCCACTGCTGCTTCACAACAACGCAAGACAATCAACCACTAAGTTAGATGAGTTACAACTGTAATGTCTGCGATATCCACCGTAATCCCCGCAACTTGATCCAACAGATTACCATTTTTTCCGGAATTTGGACAACTTCTTACAAGGAAAAAAAATCTACTTGGATGCAGGAGTCCAAACCGCCTTCAAAGAATTTATTGAATCTCGCCCCCATGGTTTTTAGTAAAGAGATCAATGAACTACCTATGAGATGGCAAAAGTGCATAGATAACAATGGTGCAAACTTTGATTAATTAAATATATTTTACAAAAAAAATCACTATATTCCTCCCGTACAAAACGATAATATCGTATGTAAGGACCTAATATATACTTACTCAACAAACGAAGCGCAAAAGTAAATACTTCCACTTCACGCCGGTCTTCTGTGAGGCCGTGGTACGAGCCCGGATGAGCCTGCCCATTCGTGCAACAATAGAAACTGCTGCGTGGCTCTACCACAGTTGTAGAGCCACTAGAATATATTTGACCCACCACGCCGATATCAAAGTACGGTATTTTCTTGGTAACCTATTAAGTTAGTATACTGCAAAAATATTAGAATTTATTCAAAGTCAAAGTATATTTATTCAATATAGGCCTAACTTAAGCTCTTATTGAACGTCAACAAAAAAATCTACCACCGGTTCACTAAACTAGACCTGCACAGAGAAGAACCGGCAAGAAACTCTGCGGTCTTGTTCTTTTTGTTATTATATAATTATTACCTGTACTATAAATTATTAAATTTATTAACATTATATTTTTAACAGATTGAATGCATTCGAAATGTTGGGAAAATTAAGTTTAAAACGAAAGCGATAAAGTATACAAACACTTATATACATAGTTTCATTTAATTGAAAGATGAATTTTTACCTCAATGATTTCCTTATTAATAAGTATTTGTTTATATTTTCCTCAAAATGTAATTTAGTTATTTTAAATTTTCTTTTGTAACAGATAAAGATATGTTATACTACCTATATATTATTTTTAATCAAATAATAGTAGAGAGAAACATGTGGAACACCATAGTTACGATTCTACTTCGGATGGCTCTTCGACTTCCACTGCGTCATTGGAATTGTCTTTGTTGGTTTTAGATTGGCTCAATAGATAAGGACCTTCATTGCAGTGAGGTCCATCACACGAAAAGTTGTCGAACTCGCAAAACTCGCCAACTATTTGCTGTAAGTATTTATACAAAAAAAAGTTTTTTAAGGGTGCTGTTCGGTGGTGGCAATCCTCTAACACAAAGTGAGAACGAAATCTGAAATGATTTGTTTGGAATAAATTCAATTTTTAATTAAAAATAGCTCATGATTTTAATTCACTTCGTGCCTTTTTCATAATAAATATCATTAATTATCAGCTTACCTTAGATGGGTGCTTAGGGTCTGGATTTGGATCGCATATGCAACGGCCACAGACACAGTTTCCACGTCCAGAGCAGGCTTCACCTTCTTCGACATTTGTTGGATAACAATTGTTTTTGGTATTACTGCTCCCACATGAGCATTCAGCATTTTCTTGTAAGCTGACTATGAAACAAAAGTTATCTTTTATCAGTTACTTAATTCAGCTAAATAATGATATAAATATAAGATTCTGAAGTGATGTTTGTATGTGAAAATCATATTTTAATTTGACGCAAAACTTTGCTTTCAATATGAACCCGTGATAAAACATTAGTAAGGCTTATCAAGTTAATACTTACAACCCTGATCCATATAATCAATGGTGTCATTTTTACAAAAATCTTCAGATGCTGATAACTGTTTTGAGAAGCATTTATTTTCTGTTTCACACCAGGAACAATGGCCCATACGCAAGCATTCGACACACGAGCGCTTAATATTGCAAACGAAACTCTGGTCTAGAATAAAAGGATTACGAGCTTTCGCTACTGCTATGGCCATTGTAACCCATAACCCGATACAAAGCAATTCCCCTTTATTTGACATTGTTAAAAATTAAAAAATAAATATCTAGTTCCTTTACCAGAGATTTCTCGATAACTACTTGCCAAGACTTACAAGCACATGGGTAGTAATATCATAAACGATAACCTCTACGAATGATTGCGCAAATAAATACGTTTGTTCCCGTTTAATAATGAACGTAATTTATTACTAAACTTATTAGCATGTTTAGATAGTTATGCGCACACATTATACATTATTCTCTTAAATAAGTTGACTGTGCAACTATAACATACATTTATACTATATAAGTAGAAATTAAAAAAGGGTCTCATTGAGATAGTTCTTTTTTAAACGTTACCCTTAAAGCAGAATAATTTTGTTTGACACTTACTGGATAGATAAAATCTGATCGTATTTTCTAATATATAAAATTCTAGTGTCACGGTGTTTGTAATTGAACTCGTCCGAAACGGCAGGATTTTCATGAAGTTTTGTGTGCATATCGGTCAGGGTGGAGAATCGGATAACATCTATTTTTCACCCCCCTAAAAGTTAAGGGTGGTCCTCCCCAAACATTTTTTTCTACCCTACAAATAATTTATAAGGCAAAACAACGTTTGCCGGCTCAAGGCTAGTTAAGATATTGTTAGAGGAATAGTGAGACAACATCACCATGGAGGGAAGTGTGCGGCACCGTTAACTTGTTTTAAGAAGAAAACCTCTGCCCGATGGAAAATGTCAAACTGCTTATGTTCTGATTTTGAATTGGATAAAATGGGGTCTCATGTAATTTTCTTACAGAATTAGTAAGAACTTGAATTGTTTTGGTTATTGTAATTGATATTGCTTTATTGAGATATAAAAGTGTCATAGTTTGTGTTTATTGTTTCTTTTAATTACATTCCACCTCTGGTTCCTAACAATATAATAATAGATATAGATCAAGTCTGTTCGACCAACGCCTAATATATACGCTGTTAATTATTTCAACCGCTGCAGAAACGCAATTGACACGAGTACGAGGGGCACACTGAAATCAACGTAGTGATTACATTTTCTCTTTGACTGAAATGATCGGGAATAGAATATTTCGGATTGAGTTACAATAATACATTTTTTTAGAGTTTGAATACTGGTCTCTTAGAATCTTAATGACATTCAAACAATAAAAAAAATGTTTAAAAACATAAACTATAGTAAAGTTGACACGGATATTGTCGCTCTTTGATCCTGGTGTTGCGATTCGAATTGACGTCTTCTTGCACCTCATTCGCTCTCATTTTAATTTAATTATTTTTATTGTATTACATCTTAATTTTCATGGTATATTAGTGATCATCGTAGAAAATTAAGTAGATTTTTGTTATTAATAACATAAAGTATAAATTTTACGAAAATAATTAAAATTTGTAAATGTAGATTTGTGACGCCAATTTGACATCTCATTTTTTCATAATTTTAGTGTAGCTGGAATTCTGCGTTATCAATTGTAAGTATTTAAAACATTTAATTTGTTCTAATATCTATATAATGGATACTGAACCGCCTGAGCCTGGAGGTGGCAACAATATTGTTTCTTCGGATACATCTGATCCTTCAACAAAATCATTATCCTTGTCAAGAAAACGTACCCAGGAGAATTCTTCTTATGTACATTCCTCAAAAAAGATCATTACTGACCCATCCCAAGCCACTGCGTCTATCCAATTGTCTTATGTCCATCCCGATTTCGTTTCAATAAAAACTAAATACTCTGAAGGACCCTGGTCCTTTCATTGTTCTCATCAATAAAACTGTTAATGACCATTCTGCTGGCACCTCATTGAAACCCATACAGTTTGCCCAATTTCTATTTCGTAACAATATTCAAAACATTCTTGATAATGGTATTAAAAAATTCGGAAGAAACAGGATTTCTGTTCAATTCAAATCAGCCAGTGATGCTAACACTTTCTGTGAACATCCCTCTCTCTCTCTCTAGATAACTATGAAACTATAATCCCTTCATACAATATAACTCGGATCTCAATCAACTCACTACTCGTCTCCAGAGCGCCGCTGACCGCCTCGGCGATTGGTTCCACAAATGGAGAATAGAAATAAATTCCGAAAAGAGTGTGGCGATTCACTTCACACGAAGTAATTACCCGTCACATCTTTATAATGGCCCTCGTCAATGCAGAAAATATCCCTTTATGGCCAACCGCTCCCCTGGGAGAAAAAGGTCAAATACTTAGAAGTTTTTCGACTCGCGTATGTCATTTACTACGCACATTAATAACGTTCGTAATCGAGCCGCGTTCGTCTACGGCCGGCTACACAATTTAACTAACGCTAAAAGTAAAATGCACAAATTATTATTATATAAGACCTGCGTACGACCTATTATGTCCTACGCATGACCTTCGCCCACACGCACCCTACTCGCTTGTACAAGCTGCAAATAGTACAAAATAAGTTCATCCGCCGTGCAACCGGTGCACAGTGGTATCAACGCAACGTCGATCTACACAGCGATTGCAGACTCCCGACGATTCGCGAATATTTTAAAGACCTGACCAAACGGTTCTTCGATAGAGCCGAACATCATCCCAACCCTCTTGTGGTAAGCGCAGCAAATTACCAACCCGACACAAACGTGAACGTCAACAAGCGTCGCCCGCAAAACGTCCTAATCGACCCGGTCGAGGAAGGGGACTTAGATATGCCGGACCCACCGCCGGGGGTCCCGCCGGATAACACTACACCCACAGCTAGTGTAACAACAAACACAATAGTTCGCCCTCGCCTTCGAGCACGGCGAGACCAACACAACGCGTACACAAGGTACACCCGCGTTCCAGGGCGGGTCTCACCGCCCCCAGTCACCGATTAGCTAAAAACACAGTCGACGGCCATCGGGGTCTCGGTCCGCACCGCAACTTCGATGGCCCTTAGATGACATGTCGTAGTTAAACGCACACATGAGCACATGCGCGGCCCTACCCACAGCGGAGGGCCCAAACCCGTGGGTTCTGGCTAGCCCACCGGTTCTGCGTCAGATAAAGCTTTAATAGTCTCAGGACTGAAAGCAACATCAGTTAATACAAGATACAAGACCATCATTCTATAGGGATCGAATTCAAATCCCTACATCTCTTTATTATATTTTTTGGTAATTTTCTTTTTTGTAAATTTTTATTTATTTACCACTTAATTTTTGTTGATTTTTTATTTTTATAAATAATTACAACAGAATGTTATTGTATTTTTTGGACGTAAAATGCAACAGTTGGAGAACAATCTATCAGAATCTGATCTGATAATAAACAAACTTTTCTTTATTTCAAATTTTTAACAAGTCTTATATTGTATATTGTTTTTAATTTTTTTTATTATAATATTTAATTTTTCACCCTAAAACGAAAATTAGCCTTTTATGAACACGAAATATAATTGTTTTATAATTTTTTCATTAATTTATGTATATGATTAACAAATTAAAATTGGAAAAAGATGTACCACTCAATAAGGTTTGAACTTGGGACCACAGTAATTGTTCACCTACCATGATGCTCGGACCAATAGGCTATACGATATTTGCGGAAAGTAAAAAAAAAATCGATTGTACTTATAATTGCCGTCAAAGATATAATTTTATAATTGGATCTTAAACAGGCCCACCGGTTGCGGGCTAAAGGGCGTGCGCCGCCACCGGTGCCATTTATAAAAAACGAAAACGTAACACTATCTTAATTTTCATTTCTAATATAGTAATACTAATATTATAATGACATAATCTTGATAAAGACATTTTATTTATCATTTTAAATTGTAAATTTTTGTAGATAAAGGAGAAAACACTTTCTGCGCTGCGGGATTCAAACTTGGTTTACTTGGACTGCGCCAGAAGGAGGGTTATATTTTTCGAAAGTATTCAGGAACGGAAATAAGCTTTAGCGGTGTCGTTAGATTCGTATTTACTGAGAGTGAGAATGACACTGTGTGTATCAAAATAAAAAAAAATATACAGAAACGCAAGTCAGGTTCTTTAGTTTTTTAATTATATTCTACTAGTTTTAAAAAGAAAGACTTCTCGTTGCGAATTTGAAAATTATTTTGGAACGACAAGTTTGGTCTAAATCCTATTTGAGGACTTGAGAACTCCAAATTAAAAATTATTGTTATCATTTTTTTATTTTTTTTTGTAACAAATTCCACAGCACTTTGTTAAATATACTAATATAAATTTTACTTAATAAAACTTAAAGCCAATTTGGATTTACATTATTTAGCTAAATTATTTAAATTACAACAGTAGAAAGACATGAAAACTTTTAATAGGTAGACATTATTATGGATTACTTGTGTGTGTGAGCGTGCGAGCATGCGTGCGTGCGTGCGTGCCTGCGCGCGTGCGTGCGTGCCTGCGCGCGTGCGTGCGTGTGTGTGTGTGTGTGTGTGAGTTGGTTAAAATGCCATTTCAATACTTTTAATACTCTCCTTTTGAAGCTATCCTTATTTGTGTTGAATATATTTGGTTGTGAAATTTATTATTGAAAACACTGCAAGCGATTCACTAATGAGTTTCGTGCATAACGAGTCGATGACTTTAACAGGCGTGCATGTCTGGTTTTAACTTTTGGAGTAGAGAATTGTAGAACATTTACAGCTAAATATTCACAGTCAATACTTCCCTTACACAGTCCATGCAAGAAAGCCATGTCCAATAGCGTACGTCGGCTCTCAAGGGTTGTGAGCTTATAATATTTGCAAGACACTTCATAATCACTGGAATTTCTGTGATTTCTGTAATTTAGGTGCCTTATAAACTTATGCTGAA